CCCCCCCCGCCCCCCTGCTCATTTCTTTAACATACACCATTTCTCTGGGCCCAAACCCTCTTCAAATCCTAATTCAAATTGTGAAGGCAACTGAAGAGATCATTGCAACGTGTTTATGGAAGCTTTGAGCGCTGCTCAGCTGCAAGCAGCTAACTGGCACCCTCCTCAATGGGCAAACTCCAGCATATTGCGCCTCCTGCTAGAAATGTCGGCTGCATGTTTTGGCAGTGACAGTGAGGTGGGAATTGCAAATCCACTAATTAGCAACAAGTCTCTTCCAAGCAGAGTCAAAGGGCTCCTGAGTGGAGCTGGTCAGGAATTGTCCAACTATATGAGTTTTCATCTGAAGAGGCCGCTGTGTTAAAAATCAAAGTGTTATATGGGCACGGTTTGGTTTTAGCTCCTACCAGAAACCTACCTAGTGTCCTGCTATCTCAGCTGATAGGCTGGGGAAGAAGGGGCAGGTTTGGGGGCTGGAGCAACCCCACCAAGCAGCCTTTCTCCGAGGGAGGCACCCCAGGCTTGCAGGCTCCCTCCACGGCTCTTAGAGGTGCTCAGATCCGCAGCCTGCGGCAGGAGGACTCTTCTGGCTCTGGAAACTCCCTGGGTTGCCCCCAGCTGCCAAGAGGAGCTCAAGAAGCCAGCTGCTGTTGGGGTAGCCAGCTGCTCTGGGCTTTGTTGGGTTTTTTTTAAAATCAATTGGAAACGTTTTTTTTTCCTAGAAACAAATGTTCTGGAGCTCCTTCCTCATGGCCTTTACCAATTGTTCATCTTCATTCCTAATCGTGACGAAAACATTTTTCCTTTCTTTTCTTTTTGTGAAATATCAGCATTTCCCGTGGGATGGAAAGTCTGAGCCTCAACTGGCTTTTCTCCTGACTCTGGTGCACCTGGGACAGTAAAGTCCTCTGAGAGTCTTTGCTCCATTTGGTTTAAGTACAGGGGGAATTCGAGGCAAAAATAAATTGCAAACAGAAAATGAAAAGAACAAAGACCCAATTTCTCTGCACTTTTCCTCCCAGTGCCTTAGATCCTTGTATTTAATCATCTTTAATATCTGAGGTGCCTACAGGCATCTTTGTGCATCTTTGTGCTAGTCTTCCAATCTTAAATCTGGCATAGCCAGCTTATTGAACGCTCACGTCTGTGCAGATAGATCCTCCAGAGGAATAGAGTCCCCCTCTCTATGGACCAGGTGAGAGTAAGGCCAACGTGCACCGTGCCTCTGACAGGCAGAGACAAATTAGAAAAGCTGCATGCACCGTACAGAGCCTGCATCCATCAGCATCCCTGCAGCTCAATCAATGACATTTATCTCATAACTAGAAACCTTGTACCCCCAGGAGCAGACCTGTAGTTTCCTCAAAACTTCTCTTTTCTACCAGAACGTGGTCATGTCTATGAATAAACGACGGATTTTCTGTCCCAGTTGCACAGCGGAGCACAACAGGGATTCACAACAGAAGGATACGGTTTGCACACCTGGGCGTTGAATGGATACAGGTGCCTAAATTCAGGCTCTTCGAGTTTCAGCTCCTGGCTTTATTTACTTAATTTTTTTAGCAAGTGACAGCTGTCCACACCATGACATATGTTACCACTGCTGAAACCTTTGAAATGCCAGCAAACCCTCAATGCTATCTCACTGGATCCAGTGGCCAGAGCAGACTGGAACAGGAGGAGAGCTCGCACTACAGCTGGCAAAGGAACAAACTCGCCCTTGCTTTTAGCAGGGAAATGGGATGCTGAGAGGGCCTCGTCCCCTTTATTTTAAACCTTGTCCCCTTCCTGTTAACTGACTTTGGCTCTATGAACCACCTGCATCATGTAATCTCAGTCAGTATTTCAGTGGGGAAGGTAGAAATGAATTGAATCCAAATGAATTGTTTCTATGTATTTTTCCCGAATGTTTGTATAATTGCATCTGCATGGGGGTAGCGATTGTTGTTTGGGCTACCCACTGGCCACAGAGTGGTGGTAACTTGTTCGTGGCATCCTGTCCCATCGCTGCCCTTTGTTATATACTGATCACCACAGCTGGAACTTGAACTATGCCCTGAACAGCAGCTCTTCAGCCATCCAGGGGCACATCCCCATGAGCAGGTACACGCATTTCCCCGTGGACAAACAGTAGTGGCACAATATGTGCTGCTGCTGCTACTTGTCCCTGGGGAAATGCTCCGATGCAGGGCATGTTGCCTTGGGTGGCGTAGGGAAGGCTGGGGTTGACACCTGGGATGGCCCCAGCAGCCTTACCTGGGATCCTGCGGGTGTCTGGGGGCTGCACCCACGATGATTCGGCAGCAAAGAGCCTGGCTGGCAGCTGGAGCCAGGCTCTGGTTTTGGGTGGCACGCACTGCCACCATGTGCACCACCCTGCTTTTTATAGGCACAAGTTTTTTTGGCGCCAGGATCTACTGGTGTCCAAACCCCACCCCCTGTGATGCAAATTTGCAGCACGGGGAACACCTGCATGTGCGGCGTGTGCAGTGGGCAGAACCACAGCCCACACGTGCATGCTCGTCTGGACATGCCCAAGGAGTTTTTTTCTGAGGCCAATCCAGCAGGGATTCTCCAAAGCCTTAACTTTTGTGTAATTGCATTCACTTATGGGTTGCAATGGTTGTGTCTGGCACACGCTGGCCACAGAACGGCCCATCTTTGAGGAGGGGGCGGAGGAGCCTGTCTTTGATGAAAGTTGCTCTTTCGTGTACCTTGCCGTAATGGCTTTTCTAGCATGTGATTCGAGCAAACAATTGTAGAGCAACAGGTCTTGGTGCTTAGACCAAAGTGACAGGCAATCAGGCATGTTATAAATGAGACGAGGATAGAGAGGGAGGGAGGGTGAGTAAGCACAGGATTCTGTCTTTGCTATGTTACCAAACGACGCTTTGCATTTCTAAAACGACACAACTCTATAAAAACAGCCACATCACAGCAGTGTAGCAAACATGCTATGTGCTAAGGCAAAGCATTTTACTTATCATCTCCCTTCTCCCCAAAACAATGAAGGTGGATGTTCATGCTTCATCGCATCAGTAGTATTTTGCAGATGGCGACCATTGCTTAAACAGATTTTGTTCCAGCTACATCTTACAAGGTCCTGTTTCAATGCCTGTAATTATTTTATTCTTGTCAACCTGCTTAAAGCACTCATTCAACTATAATGCCTATGATTACCATAGATTGAGAACACTTTAAAGTACTCAGGACCGGTCTGTTTTTTTCTCTATCAAAACATGCAGAAAGAAAAGGTACTACAAGCAAGAGGCCATTTCATTCAGCTAACTGGGCTAGTAAGTAAACTTCAGCCTAGAGTAGATTTCTTTGGTTGCCTAATGCCTGCCTAGTGTTTTCCTGGGCCTTCCCTTCTCCAACTCAACTGTGCAGGACCCTGCGCACGTGTTCAGAGCCTTAAACAAACCCCAGAAGAAACGCTCCACTGCTCATTCCTCCCCTTGGGGAGAGCAGGAGAGAGCAAATGTGACAGATATTAGTCACGTTGCTTAATGCACTACTGGGAGCTGCTCGGATACGGTGGCGATGAGATCGTGGAGTCAGAGTCTGGAAGTTGCCGAATACAGAAAGTCGACATTTTAAACTCGGGAGCTGCAAGCTATGCTTAGCAGTTCTGTAGAGCAGGCCACTTCTACTGAAATACTCAGGTAGGGGTGGAGGAGCCTAACTTTAGTCACCCACGTTGGCAGATTTTGGTCACACTACAGGCGTATTCAAGGCTAGGGAAATTATCATCTCCTTTGGTTCTCACGGCAGATATGCTTTCTGCTCTTATTGGTCAAAGAAATCCAAAACGTACCGCTGTCACAGGCCCACACTCTGCCACTTCTTGACAGCTGAGTTACAGTTTAAATATTTTAAGTCCTTTTGTCTGCCTTTTTATGCCTAATAGGTAAAGGGAAGTATTTAAAACAGGAAACAGGAAAAGGAGAGACTCCTTTGAGAGCAAATATAAAACTCATTGAGCTCCTCAGCAGGAAAGCTCTTTGCAAAGTAAATTAAAATTTAGCACATGATTATGAATTATGGAATGAAGAGATTGCATTAGACTGTGCAACTTTAAGCGCCTGCAGCTACAACCTCTGAAGATTACTTTACTTGCTACGAGTCTGTCACAGTGAGTGTCTGGCTAGTCTCTGTTTTCTTTTAGGAAGGTTTCAGTCCCGCGTGACAGAAACACACATCTATAATCTTTGCAGAAACAGCTGTAATGTCAATGGGAGAGAAATGAAATATCGTGGGGGGGGGAGTCCTCCAGGCCATGTTTCCCCTGCTTGTGATTCTGTCATTTATTTGCACCTGTCCATATGAGCTTTTCACACATTACTGGAATGGCTGCAGATTACTGCCATTACTACTACTACTTCTGTAACTCCCGGGTAAACACAGCAAAAAGGGCTATTTCCCGTTCAGATAACAACAAGCAAATCCTGTCCTGTAATTCAGGAAATACCTTCACTAGGGCAACTGGCCACAATATCTGCTTGAATTCAGCAAGCCACATGCCAAGCTGTCAAATCATTTACAGTAAAGGCTGAAGATACAAACCTGGACAATGAATTCAGTGATTTTGTATATAAGTAATAAGTTGGTTAAATATGTCTGAAAAGAACCAGAAGACCTGCTCTTCCACTGCTTTGTGCCGTGTGTCATCATTTCCATGTCTGAACACTGAATGCAAAGCAGGTGCAATGCTACCAGGCCATTATGGCAGGCCTGCCTCTCTACGGCCTTGCTTCTCCTGCACTCACTCACAGTTCGCAAACTGTTTTGCAAAACGTGATGCTTTGTGACCACTTGGCATAGGTGTAAATGCCTACAGAAGTGCCAGGCAGAGGAGAAACAGGGCTGTAACAGTCCTAAAGCCCCTTGGAACACATCCTATTAAGAGAAAAACAAAGACTTACCCTCAAAAAGTAACCCAACTTTAGCAACTAGCACGTGTTTGCCTAGGGCCTAATCAAAGAAAATGCAAGACTTACCCAAGAGTTGTCATGGTTACAATAGTGTACCAAAAGGAAGCTGGGATGCTGGTGAATTTGCTCGCTGAGGATCCTTTCTCTGCATAAAACATCACTGTAGCAAAGATGATGATTGCCATAGTGAGGGAAAAGAGGAGAAAGCCAAGTTCAGAGGCACAGCTCTTCAGAGTGTAGCCCAAGATTCGTAAGCCTTGTGAATGGCGGGAGAACTTGAAAATCCTGAAAACCCTGAAAACCCGTAGTGTCACAAAGGCTCCGCTGACATCCTCGTTATCGGTCATCACCAAGCCAATATAGTAGGGCATGATGGCCACCACGTCAATGATGCTCATCACGCTCCTGATGAACCTGTAGCGACTCGGGGCCGCGAAGAGTCTCAAAAGATACTCAACGGTGAATATCATAACGCAAGCTGTGTCCAAGCAGAAGAAAGCCACAGCATACCTCTCCCCGCATGGAAGCTCCTTGTTCCCCGGCACCGTGCCGCAGGGGACGGTTTCTACCACATTCGTGATCACAGAGACGGCAATAAAGAAGCCGGTGACGTAGTAAAAGACTAAGGCTAAGGTGCTGGTATGGGGATTCTCGAAGGCTCGCCACATGGTCTGCCGGAAGTTCAGGGATGGCATGGACCCTTCTTGGTTGTTCTCCGAGTCATTGTCATCCATCAGCCGCTCAGCATTTTCCCGCTTCCTGTCCTTGTACTCTTCATAGCAGCAGTCCCCAATGATTTCAGGTAGGATCCCGTAGAAGGCGAGCTCCTCGTCATAGGCAGAGATGCACTCATATCGTGGGTAGTGCAGCTTGCCAGTTCTGTAAAAATTTAAGATGCACCTAAAGACTTCAGGGTCCCGGTCAAAAAAATATTCCTTAGTGTCTTCGTTGAAGAAGAACTCCTTCTCGGTGCTGCCCAGGAGAGTGTCCGGGTATCTCTCCAGTGTAGTCCTCCAGGTCTGGAAGCGCCGCCCACTCACGTTCAGGATGATCAGCTCGTCCTGCCTCTTGTTTTTATCCGTGGGGGCCAGCGGCATGGGGCAGTTGGCCACTGGCATCCATCCGATGGCGGCTGCCCTGGCAAAGGGCAGCCATGCTGCTACGCCTGCTGCCATGATGGCTCGAGGCCTTCCTTGTTATTGGAGAAGACAGTTCTGCTGCTTCTAGGACCCGTCTGAAGTCAAATCATTTCCATCTACAAATGAAACAAAACACAAATATAGCAGGAGGTCAGCTGGGGCCGTCTTGCCCAGGGACTGCTGAAACAATCTGGATAAATATCTTTGAGGGAATCCACAGCAACAGAGGAGCTAGTTTGTGCTAGCCCCCGCTTAGAAGAATGGTTCTTAAAAGATACACTTGATAATCAACACGGGAAGGTTATAGCATTATTATAGATGGAAGTTTTGAATGGCAAATGATTCCTCATTAAAAGTATTTAAAAGTAGCATAAACACGCTAATTTATATTTGCTTCCTTACAAACAAGACTAATCCGTTATTCCACAGGTGTAAGCTTTATGCATTTATCATTCTGGCTACAGCTGTCAAGAAAGAGCTGGAAACTCTGGTGAAATCCACTGGCAGTTTACCAGGGGAAACATTTGTGGCTGAAGACCTAAAATGGACCCAGTTGGACTTCTCATAAAAAGCAAGCTCTGAATTCAGCGAAGCTAGCACTACAGACTACCCACTGGTAACTCAGATCAAAGAATGACTCTGAAATCTTCCAGGGTTTGCAGTACAGTTTTGCTCAACCTTTAGTTAAAAACCTCTGCTAGGCAACAGCTTTTTTTGCCGGTCCCCTGGGTAGTTCCTTGAGACAGGTTTTACAGTGAAATATTGCACCATTCCAGTGGGCAAGAGGAAAAATCGGTCTCTTCGGGGCATGACAGCATTGCCCAGAATTTCTGCGTGGTGAGCGTGTGCATGTGTGCGAGATGGGCACACTGGGTAGTGTCAGGCTACACCAGACGCTTACTGTGCAGTAGCCTAATGACACTGCGCAGGAGCATGCTGGTCAAAAACTGTGCCAATATAGAATATAATATGCTACTGTGCAGTGTTAGTAAGCTACTGCGCAGTAAGTGTCACAGAAAAACCACGAGCCAGCATTACTGCACGGTAGCGTGAATTATTGTGCATTTAGTTAGTACCTGGTTAACCAAGTACTAAACTTAATGTGCAGTAACTAGGGTGCATTAATGAACATGTAGACGCACCCACTCAAAATCTAAACCATGCCAGACCAAAAAGGTAGAACATCCAACTTTGACAGGGTCGGCTACCAGACCGTGAAGGTTATCTTGATTGCTTCCTTCCTAACAAAGGCAAAAGTCCTTGAATAAGTGACGGAACAAGCCCATTACCATTGCTATACTTAGGAGCCCATCTAAGGAGAGAAAAATGTCCACAGCTCCAAGGCTCCTCAGCTGGTTTAAACTGGGTTAGCTCTGCTAAAATCAATGCGGTGACTCTGATTTACAGCAGACCTGCATTTCCTTGTTCCAGTGGGTCTTGAGTCAAACCTTTCACCTTATTAACCTTAGTTTTTATTCACTCCCTTAGTATTTTTAATTACTGTCCAATTATTTGAGTAAGATATTCTGTGGACTATCCAAAGTCCATTAAGGCAATAGAAAGATTCCCTTTGGCTTCACTGGATAAGACTGGAAACCTCACTACGTGAACTGCCTAACATCTTTCTACATAATTTCACTGTGACGTTATCTTAATTGTACGAACAGCACCGTTCCAGTCGCTGGGGCTATAGCATTATGGATCTTAACAGGCCACAAGACATTGAATGAAAGATAGCAGAACGAATCTGTGGTGAAACCTTTTAGTGAACTGTTCTCAAAATGGTGCTCTCCCTAGGTATTATGCATTATCATTCATCATATTAATATTATGAAGCATCTTGCTGTGCAGTTTTGTCAATTGTCCTGATGCAACCCTCCAACCATTGCAATAAGAGGTTTTGTAATCATGATATATGCAGCAGCCCATTGTGATGCATCTCTCCCATCTTCTCTAGCTACAGAATCCTCACCCCAGGATATTTTACTATGCAGGTCTATTCGATATCACTCTGCATTATATGGTTCCCGTAGTTTAAAGATGGCTCTTGAAAGATGCCAGACTGACAGCTCTAGAGATGGGGATCCCTTTCTCATCCAAAGAACAGCAAACCACAGCAACTTAAACTTCTCCATGAAAAATATGCTTCGATCCTTAGCTGAAGAGAGTCCCTATAGGGACCAGATAGAACCAGCCAACAAAAGTGCCAAGTTTCACTGGGCCGTGGAGGTGGATTTGCTGATGGGAGCCTAGAAGTAAAAGGGTGGCCATCACCAATGCAAAAAATGCCATTAACTTCATTCATTACCCACCCAACCTGAATGCAGATTTAGGACCAAGAGATCTAGGCTATGCATTCAGTCAGTGATGCACAAAGCCACTTGGTCCCCTTTTTTGCTTTATGGACACTGGTGCTACCCCCTGGGGATTGGCTGGAAATGGGTGGAACATTGCTGGTTCTGCTCGGTAACAGGATTGGGATCCTCTATTTCTCTCACAGCCTCTCCCAGGAATCTCATTCCAGCTCATACTTTATAGAGCCCTGACTCTCAATTCTGGCTCACTTCACTTTGCTGTCAGAGACACTACAAATCCTCCTTATAAACCTGTTTTAATAAGATACTGGTAACTCATAAATGGCTTCCCAATTTTAAGACCATTTTTAAAATAAAAAGGTCTTTCCAGACTGACAACATACATGGAAGAAAAAATTAAACTTCTAAAATGGCCAAAAAATAAAAAATAAATAAATAAAAAAGCACGAGAGATGGTTAAGTAGGCTGTCCATAAAAGTTTATTATTCAATTACAAGTCTCTGTGGCCTGAAGAGATGAGGCTGAAGTTCAGAGAAGTTCCTTCTGTATGTGCTAGGGGCTTAATTTTCAAAGTTTCATTAAATCTGTTGTAACCGAGTCCCATTTGTTTCTCCAATACTCAGTGTTAGAGCCATTTTGAAAGATTAACATGTGAGAGTTGTTTGGTGATGGGATTTTTGGAGTGTATCAGTATGTGAGGACTGGGTAGTAACAGAAGGAAGGAAAACTGAATATCTTTATCGTTAGGGATGGCTTCTTTTCACAGGTCTTCAGTCCATGAGAAATGAGTGGGCGGGAGAAAAAGAGGTTGCATCTATGCCTCTGAATTGTGCCCTCGAGTCTAGGGTGACAGGACATGAAACTATTTCATTGATTAGCCACCTTCTCTGGCTGCAGACTCAGTCGGGGATCAGAGGGGAACATTAATAATTCCTTTCTTACTGTGTCAAGCAATTGGCAGGGTAGAAATATTTAGCACAACCTGCACTGTGTAATAGGAAAAGGGCGCGCGCACACACACA